CAAACTAGCCTAACTGTTGGCCTTTGTAGTCATATGATCCAATAAAATTTCTTTTGTCTTAAGCTGTGTGAGATTTCTGCCTCTTACTCCTAGAAGAGCCCTGACAGATAAAGATGCTTCAGATAATCTGTGCATAGTATTACTAGTTAAAAGCCTTTTGATAAATAGTCTGGGTATCTGGCAGAGAGTTGGCACTTAACAAATTAACATAGTAAGTTAAAAGGACTTAAATCAATGGGAGGCAGCTGATTTTAATAGGGTTATTTCATACCTGACTACATGAACTATGTTTTTAGAATAACAGCTTCACAACAGGATTAATTTTTAAAAGTTAAAGTTTTAGGTAGCTCAATTTGAAAATAGGCTTCTTTTCATATATCCTAGTGTGTGTATCCTACTAACATTTTCTGTACTATACTGAAGGTCTTTTATGGATTTTATGAAGAAAAAAATCTGTTTCTTCTGGTTACATGTCTTATATTTTCTTGGATTGTGCTCTGTGATTTTTGCCCTTTCCTTAGTTCTTCTCCAGTCTCTGACCTTTGAATAAAATGGTCCTGGGAAAAGACTTTCATTGGTTTTATAGTTTTAAACAGATTAAATATGCCTTTTGGGGAAAGGATTCATGTTCCTAATTTCTCTACCAAAAGACTGGATTAGAAAACTCCTTAAGTTTCATATCTACTCTTTTATTTGTTTAAGTAACTTCATGTTAGTAGGGGGAAAGTGTTTTCATTTAAATTGGAAAATTAAATGCTTTTTTTCCTGTAATTATAAGAAATTATAGCAATTCTGAATGGTCTGAAGAATTTAGTATTGCTTTAGTTTTTCTTCTTGCCTGTCAGAGTTTGTTACCAACTTTAAATGGGTTGTCCGTCTTTCTGGCATACTGTGTTCTTGGTACTACTTGAAGAGAGGGAGGGCCGGGAATTTAGCTCAGTGGTTTTGCTGCCTGCTGCGCAAGCGCAAGGACCTGAGTTCGATCCCCGGTACCCCCCCCCCCCGAAAAAGAGAGGGAGATGAAGCCATAGATCTGAGGTGAGCATTTACTGGGAGCCAGAAGTAAAACTGAAGTTTCTGATATAGGTTTATTTAGTAATAGTTACTCATTGCTAAGAACTACTGAGATGTGTATTTTTCCCCCTACACCTGTGCCATTACTCATAGTGATGTCATTCGTTGTCTAGGAGCTCTGGAGTCTAACTGGAAACACCTTACTTAGCAGCCATTCCACAGACAGGTGCACCTGCCGTAAACAAAACTACTTTGGAATTTCCAAACAGGGGGGCATTTCTGTAACTAATGCATGGCTAGTTAGAAGCTGCAAGAGGTCATTCCCACCTGATGATGTGAAACAATGCCAGTGCCTACCTCAAGGCACTGCCCACCTGATCTTGGGACCATCAGGAGAACAGTGCTTTTAAGGCTGATTTGTCCCTCCAGATAAGACTGAGAGAACAGACAGGGAGTTACAGTGGCCAGCCAGGCTACTTTCACATTTTATGGCTCACATGGCATGTTCTGTTCACAACTTGAGAATATTTTAGGAAAAATGGACTTTGCCTGCACTTCCAGATGTTTATTACTGCAGTGATCTCAACTTTAGTTTCTTCAACTTTCCCCTAGGTTGGTGAGCTGATGTGCTCAGATTCTGACTCAGGCTTGGGATTGAGATACTTGTTTCTCCCCTTTGGGTCTAGAGCTCTGGATAGCAGTGCAGCCTCTAAATTCAAAGACGGTTGTAGTATCCTTGTTGGGACTATCTTTCCTTGTAAATCACAAGAGTGTTGGCTGGTCACATTTTTGAGTGCCTGAATTGCTGGATGTATTTTCACAGTTGTATCTTAGGTTGTCTCTTAAGAGTCTGAGTCAGAGCTGCAGCCTACTAAAATGGAGGGAGACATTAGAGACCCTCAGGTTCTTTATGGAAGTTAAAACCCAGAGAGTGACTCAACTACCTATGCCCAGCAGTTCAGTTTCAAAACCAGGACCAGAACCAGAGCCCAGGCCTCCTGACTTGCAAAGACTTTTCTTTTCATGTTGGTAGAGTTAGAAAATGTCATGATACCAAATTTAGCATGACCAACTATTTATCTAGCTGCTTTTCTTAGATTAGAACATAAACTTGTCTTAGGTTTTGGCTGCTGCAGACATTTTGATTTCTCCCTGTTCCACAATCTCTGGATCTCTTCCCCCAAATGATTGACAGTGACCTTTAGCCTAATTTATATGGTGCTGAGGACTTGGCCTTTGGCCCAAGAAAAGCTTATGTCCAGTGCCATTGGTTTTTCTTCTTTCCGTTTCAATGAATGGTAACTCTACCCTGCTCTGTGAATTCCTTGTCCTGTAGAGCAACCTCACCTACATAGAGAGTCAGATGTTTCTGGGACTCAAAATATTTAGCAGTCTAATCTTTGACCTAAAGGGTGGAAAGCAAAGGTCTATCTGCTGTTGAAATTGGAGTTAGAAGGTAGCATGATGAGAATTGCTGAAGAGTGGCTCTGCCTCTCTGTGATTTATAAGATCCTCCTGACTCTCAGGCAGCAAGGGAAGGACGAAGAAGGACTTGTGTTCTGCAGCCAGGGTGTCTCATTTCAGCCCTGGCAGAGCTGTGGTGAGCCTTGTGTTTTAACTGAAGCTTTTCAACCTTGGCCTAGAAAAATTGATGAAGCCTTTTTTCCTCTCCATCTGACCCCAACAGAGGATGGGAATAAAAAGGAACGTTAAACTGGGACACAGTCTTTTCCATTGAATCTGTAAGAATCTTGAGGCTTCAGGCTCTTAACTTATTCATCCCTTTGTTTTCTTTTTTAGAACCTAACAGAGTGCTATACATAGGCATTTTGTTGTATGGAATTAGGCATTTAGTGTTCTCTCTTTTTTCAGTTTTGAGTATTCTAAAAGTCTGTTTGCACCAATGTTTGGTCTTTTGTATCCTTTTTCCAAGCTTCTGTCTTTGGGTTTATCTAAAAGGATAATATTCTTTTTTTATTATTCAGTTTATTCGTAGATTTTAGGTATCTGATATGATGACATTCATCGTTGGAAATTTGTACCTTTATGTGATATATCTTGGTTTTTATTTTTTTCCCCATTTCTGTGCCCTCCCCTCAACCCTTCCACCCCTTCCTATTTACAAAGACTTTGTTTCCATTTTTTCCTTTTCTCTTATTTTTCCTTTCCCTTCTTTCCTTTCCCCTACTCCTCCCACTTCCCCTTCCCCTTATAGTGGCTTGCATATAGCTTTACAGTATAATTTTATCTCAAAGCATTCTATTTTCAAAATTGAATTTCATCCTTAAATTACTTAAAATAACTGTTAACTGATTACCCTAAACATATTCATTTAGTTCCAGGCTGTCTTGCAACCTGTTCTGTGCTTGACCCAAGGAAATTGTGGTATCTGAACAAAATTTTGAGTGGAGATTAATGTAGGAATCCAAGACACAGGGTTGTTGTGGAGATTAACTGAGTTCAAGTAGGAGGAGTGGTAGTGCAGTGCATGGCATAGATTGAGCATTTACCCAAAAATATTTATTATTATTTTTATTATTGGTTATTTCTATAATTTTGACATAAACCAAAGAACAACTGGTATTGGCTTGATCTATGAGACTTAGACAGAGTTACTTTGAGTAGTTCAAGTCTTTTTCCCTTCAGAAATCCAAAGCTCTCCTGAGAATTTCTGCCACCTCCCATGGGGGCTTGCATTTTTACATTTATTAATGAACAGAAATTAACCATTAGAAAAGAGAAAAATTGCCCAGCATGGTGGCTCATGCCTATGATCCCAGCACTCAGGAGACTGAGGCAGGAGGATTGCTGTGAGTTCAAGGCCAGCCTGGGCTACATAGTTCAAGGCTGGCTTGAAATACATAATGAGACCCTTTCTCAAAAAAAATTTTTTTTATAAACTCCATAAATCCAAGACCTGTTACTTTGAAGAAAAACTTTTACTTTAATCACAAAATGACCGAAACATAATTCACAGTATTAAGATTGAGAGAAGATATGAAGAGGGAGAGGGTTACCTAAAGACAATGATTATAAAATTGTGAGAATTTGAAAATAATTTATAAATAGACATCAAAATGAGAGAAAAAAATTGGAGATATTGAACAAGTAGATCTGGATGCGTTAGTAAGGAAATATTTCTGTAAGACTTACCTTTGTTTCAAATAATAAGTAATTTGTACTTTGAAAGCTTCCTGATTAATTGATATATTCACAACCATGATTAATTTGATTGCTGGTGTTTTAGTCATTATGTTTCAGTTAGCTGTGCCTTGTAGAGGTGTCTTGTCATTTTGATTGCATTTCATGTCCAGTGCGCATTCCCTTCAGATTGTTCTGCACAAAACAGATGAGTGCTTAATAAACATTATCTCCAGGCATCTCTTCTGGCAGTTTGAATTTTAGCTTACTGATGAGAATTGCATTCATTGCAAAGATTTTATCATAAATGAATGTAAGGATCTTAAATTGGTAGGTTCTTTTTATACATTTCTCTGATACTTTTCCTCCCTTATGCATATTTGTATTTCCTATTAGTTTCTATGAAAGCAAACAACCATTAGGCCATTTCTGCAACTTTAGAAACATGTGGTAAAGCATATCATTTTATTTTGCAGAGAATGTAACTCATACAGAGTCATTGTGCAAATTCAGAACTTCAGTACTTTTTCTGCTGAACATTAGAAATTTTATATAATTACAATAAATAAAAACACTGACCTATTCAAAACTCAAGGAAAGCATAGGATCTATATATCTTTTATGCTACATTTTAAATCATATTTTATTAATTTGTGAAAGTTTATCTTTTAATATACAGTATCATATTCTGAGATCTAATTAATTTAAGGGGGTGCATTTTGATTTTTATTATTAGGGGAATTTTCAAAGTTGTATTTTAGAGTAAATACGAACTGCTTTGTGAGTAGCTTTTTGTTGTTGTTGTTGCTTTACCAAAACTGTTTCCATCAAACTAATTTCTCTAGGTTGAAAATGTTCGCTTGGTAGACCGAGTGTCTTCCAAAAAATCAGCCCTGGGTACTTTGTATTTGACGGCTACTCATGTCATATTCGTGGAAAATGCACCTGATACAAGAAAAGAAACATGGGTATGCTTTCCTTATTTCTGACTTTACATATTTTCCATATTGAAGTAAAAATTTTATCCTCCCTTCTTTTGTTTGTCCTCAGAGTGAGGCAAGTGGGCTGTTGGTGTTCGGGTGTTCAGGGGACTGTTTGTGGGATGGTACCTCGCCTTCTTATATGCAGTTGTATTGATTTGATCTACTGGTTCATTTAAACACTGCTTTGGGCATCATCAAAGATAGACCAAGAAATAGCCTTAAGATACATGAGCTTCCTGGTATAACTGTAGAGCAGACATTCAGTAATGGTAGTATGCCAGATACAGCATTTCCACAACTCTTGGCGTACACATTACTTGCAAGATCCCATAATGCAGCAATTCAGTTGTTTTGTTGTCTCTACTTTTGGGATAATTTAAAAAAGAAAAGCTAGAGAAGAGTATCATCAATAGGTATTTCTGCTACTTAGTAATAAAACCATTAGATATTTCTAACTTTATATAGTAGCCCTATCATGGTGTTATGACCAGAACCAGAATCCCTGAAATGTAGAGTTTTTCTTCTTTCCATATTCTGTGGACAGTGTTAATGCTTTTAGCAGAAAATGGTAGGCACTACTTAGCGGAAAGGAATTTAGAGAATGAAGTGCTGCCTTTGAGGCTGAGTGTAGACCTTCTGGAAATGCCAGAGAGATGGGTTTCCTCCTGATTTCTTTTCAAATCTCTTCATTAGAGAGTAGAAGGATGGGATCGAAGGCTAGAGAGGGAAGGGAATGGGAATGGGAGGGAATGAGTGCTTGTCGATCCTATCATATAAAGCTTCAGATAAAAGGAAAACTAGACCTTGAGTTCTATTGCATAACAAGGTATTATAGCCAAAACAATAATTGTATATCTGGGCTGGGGATTTAGCTCAGTGGTTCTGCTGCCTGCCTCGCAAGCGCAAGGTCCTGAGTTCAATCCCCAGTACCAAAAAATAATAATAATAATTGTATATCTAAAAAAACAGAATAAATTTCAAATGTTTTACCATAAATAGATAAGCAAGGTGATGGATATGTTAGATTGATGTATACATTGTATCCATACATTGGAACATTGTACCCTATAAATGTATACAATGATGATTTGCTAATTGAAAATCATATTAATAAATTAAAAATAAAATAAATATTTTCTTCTGAAGTTGGCCTGACCACCAATAGCTTAGAAAACAACAATCCCAAGTAACTATTGAAACTGAGTGTTCCATGTGGAATTAAAGAGCATGGTGGCATCTCCCAGCAGAGCCATCTCTAACTTCTACTAAATGCAAAATTTATTTTGCTAACTTCCCATGACCTTATTTAATTTTAGCTGTAATTGCATTCAACATTTTGACTAATGAAATGTTCCCTTACCTGAAATTGTGCAAATTCACATGCTGAATAGTTTGCTTCAAAATAATTATCCTGGATAGGAAAAGGCTTGGTATTAAAGAATAAAATTATTAATTTAGTCACTTGGAACATCTCAACCATTATGATCTGAGAGCAGGTGTTGAACTAGCTGAAGGACGGGAAGTGTTTCTTGTGTACTTGTGCATCTCAGAGAGCTGTGGTAGTCCTTGTCATATTTGTTATTTGTGCTTAATGTTTCCCAATTAACTTTGGGTTCTAGATTCTCCACAGTCAGATTTCCACCATTGAAAAACAGGCAACAACTGCTACTGGCTGTCCTCTGCTTATTCGCTGTAAGAACTTTCAGATTATACAGCTCATCATACCGCAGGAAAGAGATTGCCATGATGTGTATGTCTCTCTGATACGCCTTGCGAAGCCAGGTAAGCAAGGGAACTTGGCGTTTGATATGAATCATTCTTAGAAAGTGACAGATCCTATTTAGAATTTGTGTAGGGCTTAAGAATGACAGTATTTTAGGAATGCTATGTCATCTTCATCCTCAGAGGAGGCCAAGAAGTTTGAACAATCACCTGATACATAAGTCCTTTTCTTTGAGATGGACTTCTTTCATTAATCTTAATATTCACATTTTCTTGGGAGTTGTAATGAGTTTTCCTTTCAGGATGTAATCACCTTAAAATAATTCCCTTCTGATACTGTGGTAATTGAGCTACTTGGAATGAGGCCATGACAGAACTGATGATTTGGGGGGGGGGGCAGGGTCTTACTCTGCAGTTCAGTCTGAACTCACACTCACTATGTAGCCCAGGCTGGCCTTGAACTCCAGGTAATCCTCCTTCCTCAGCCTCCCAAATGCTGGGATTACAGGCATGTGCCACCATGCCCAGGATAACTGATACATTGTTTTGTGTGGAAAAAATTGTTATTCAGCACTCTTGGTACTTTCCTCTCCTTCAGAGGACTTTTAAGGTTTGGTCTCCATTTGTTTTTGATCGTAATATATGTTTTCCAAAATTGATGCATCTAAATAGACTTTCATTAGCATCGTGAATATTCAGGATATAGATATGTTAATTTTCAAATGAAACTTCCTTAAGTGTGGTGGTAAGAATGTTTTGATTTGAAAAAATATGTACTGTTACTATCTTGTTCCAGTATTGAAGTGTTCAGATTTATAGTTTACTATTCACTTGTGCAGAAGTATTTCTTGTCTCTGTGTAGCTTGTATGAGCTGTACTATTCTTTTGCTTAAAAGCATCCTTCTAGATTATTTGGGAGAATGTAGTGAAAAGAGGTCATTTATATAAAAATTAAGTGTTACACAGCAATCATCAATAAGGATAGGGGGATATGTGCTTATAGTTATTTTGCCTGATGCATTTTGGGTTTATTTTTGTTTGTTTGTTTTGGGTGTTTTTGGTACTGGGGATCGAAATTTGGTCCTTGCACTTGGGAGGCAGGCAGCAGAACCACTGAGCTAAATCCCCGGCCTGCCAGATGCATTTTGATTCAGGACAAGAAAGTTTGATTGTTAACCTCTTAAGGCATTTGCCTAGGTCTTAAGTTCCTAATGATGTAACCATATCATTTATAGGTAACTAAGAGCTAAAGTATTTAAGAGAAGTCATGGCTGGAAGCTGTCAAAAATCTGATAATTTTGAGTTTTTCTCCCTTTAAAGGGAGTTTGTTGAGGCTTTTTTTTTTCTGTGTTGAAGAGAACTGCAGAGTAAGTCAGAAAAGTAGTTGAACTTTTTGGAGAGGGCAGTATAATTGGAACAGAAGTTCTGGGAAGATGTATGATAGGTTGCATGCAGCAGAGAATGTGAGAATGGTGTGCCAGTAATTTCTGTGTCACTGATTAATGGGTGTACTGGATAATAAATGTGCTCTGACCGGAATAATGGGATTTAGGAATGACCCAGAGAACTGGGAAAGGGCTGAGCAGCTGGAAGAATAGATCACTCAGTGGTGAGGGCTATGGTCCAGAGACAGCAAGTGCCAAGACTCACTGTAAGGATCCTCTGGGAAGAAAACCACTGTGTCCCATGGCTTTTTAGGAATGCACACTCTTCTTAAAAGCTGACACTTTGGGAGTTAGGTATCAGATGTACCCAGAAACCTGCCTGGCTACCTTTTCCAAAAAAGGAAACCATAATAATTAATTGAATTAAAGCCATCACCTGAAAGGATTTAAAGTGTTATTAACATTTTGGAATATGAACGTTAGAAATGCCAGTTTATGTGACAACACTGCTTTAATAACTGTGAGAAGATGATCTAGGCAGATCCACAATTTAATGTTAAAGGTAGCACTAAAGTTAGGACCTATTACAGGCACTTATCTTCAGAACAGTGTTCTGAATCTGGGAGGAGATGGGGAAAGGTGGAGGGGTCAGATTTGAAACAGTGGCTTTCAGCTAGGGTCAGGGAACATTTATTGGAACCATCCAAGAATAGTTGACAAAATATACCTTTACCCTCGAAGTATATCAGCTAAAGGGATGTGCATGCATTTGTGCATGTATGTGAGAGGGTGTGTGTGAAGGAATTATACTTTGAATTCTAGGTTAGTACAGTATAGCTCTCTGTACTTATTCTGGTTAGCCACCAGTGTGCATCACAAATTTCAGACCCCCTCATGGACACAGCTAACTGCAAGGTCCTAGGGAGGACCAACTTTATTTTCCTTGCTAAAGAAGAAATGTCTGAGTTCATTTAAGCCAAGGCATGAAGGAGGTTTTTGGTTTTGTTTTGTTTTTTTTTGGTAGCGGGGATCGAACTCGAGACCTTGCGCTTTCAAGGCAGGCACCGGAACCACTGAGCTAAATCCCCAGCCCAGAAGGACTTTTTTTTTTCCCTTAAATTCTTTTATTGGTACATTTTAGGTATACAGTATGTTTACATTTATCATTGGGTGCTTGTACCTGTATGTGATATATCTTGGTTTTTATTTTTTTTCCCCATTACCTGTGCGCCCTTCACCCCCTCCACCCTTCCCTGTTTACATATAGAAGGAGGTATTTTTGAAGCTCTTGAGATCCTTAGCATTTTTATGATTGGGTAAATCAAATCACTGAAAGATTAGGAGAGATTTTCTGGTTTGTTTTTTGTGTGAATAAGGATTGGTAAACATGCGTAATGGACTGTAAAAGATACCTGAACAAAATAATGTGGCTAAATTCACCAAGCTCTTTAATTCCCAGAAAAGAAATAGCTTAAGTTAAAATAAACGTTGTGGCTCAAAGGAGAAAATGAGTTAACCCATAGATCCAATGTACTAATAAGGATATAAAATTTTCTGATTAAAAGATCCCTATTTCTCAGAGGGCTTCTACTTTTCCCATGCTCTCCTTTCTTTACTCTTCCCTCTAATTTCCCCCCTGCTGTTTATTTTTGTATCAATTATCTTTCCTTCTTTAGTGTGTGTGGACCCTTCAACATTTAAATAATTTCTTCTGTTTATTTTCCCATTTTTACTAAATTACAGATTTTTTTAAAGCTTGTCTTGCTTCCCAATTTCTCTGATTGTGTGTGTGTGTGTGTGTGTGTCTGTGTGTGTGTGTGAGTGTGTGTGTGAGTGAGTGAGATGCTGGGGCTCGAACCAAGCTAGGTAAGTGCTCTACCTTGAGCCACATCCACAGTCTTTCATATTTATTATGATTTTTTAAAATCTCATCATTGAAGTAGTTTCATTTGCTTAAATTTAACTTCTTATATTTCTTATCTAACTCAGTCATGTTTAAGCAATTTAATGGTAAGGTTTTTTTTATTGATGGTACTAATATAAGTCCAGTGGCCCTTTTCTACTGTGTTAGCTTCAACAGTCCTAATGTTTAATTTAAACGTATGTTTAAACTAGTCTAAGTCTAAACGAAGATGAGACACCCTCATTGTTTTTATTTTAAATATGTAAAATCCATTAATAGCTGTGTTGTCTTCTTACCTCTGTCTAAAAGAGTTTTTAACAACACTTATTTTTAAGTTGCTTGAATTTAGCAGAATGTCTTGAGCAATTTGGCTTTCATTAGTTACCTTAGTCCTAAAATTTCCACATTTCTGTCTTACTTTTTGTTTTTTATCTAAATTTTTAAAGTACTTTTCATTTTAATATTAAGTTACCTTTCATTTTCCCCACTTAGTCTATAATGAGAGGCAATTCTTCCATGTTGTTTCCTAAACACACCATATGTTATTTAATAACCTTTAGTTTGATATCAAATTTTAATTTGATATTTTCCTTCCTTCCCTAATCTTTGGTTTTACTCATGCTTGTCCATCTCTCTCCTTTGACAGAATGAATATTCTTTCCTTTATATGTGAGAAGGAGCCAAGTTTTGGTATAGATACAGGTCCAGTTGTGGGTGTGGTGGTTCCAGGTTGATTAGATGATCTCATTTCCACTGGATGGATTGCATTTTCTCTGGGAAGCAGGAAGTGGGATTATCTGATCATGAAGGAATTTGTGAGAACAGAAATTAAGCTGGATTGTAGTGACGTGTGATTTCCTAAGTTAAGGAGACCGTGAACAGTAGTGCTAAAATAAAATAAATTAAAACATGCATTTCTATGCTTTGGTTGAGCTTATGCTTTTGACTAAAACATCAATTAGGCTTTTTTAGAAATTTAGCCAAAATGATGTTCATTCGTAATTACATGTAATATTTTAGAAATTGTCATTTTTCTTCCTCAATAGGTAAAAAAAATATTCCATTCGGCCTTTGTTAAGATAGCTATGTAATTTAAATAGACAGTATATCGTAAATTAAATGTTAAGATGATTTTCACATGTTTCTGAAATATTTTTGAAAAAATTTTAAATTAAAATGTCCATTCAGTTTGCTCCCGTAGTCCAAAGGAATGTTGAGTATTTACTTCTTGTAGGAAGAGCTCCTTTGCCCTCAAAGTAACAAGGCCCTTGAGTATGAGACCCTATGTGCATGTCCTGTTGAAACCTATGGTCACTCACACCAAAGCTGTTTTATGTTAGTGTGATGGCTCAGACTTTGTAATGTGAAAAGCCTGTGGAGCATTTCGCATGTCTGTCTTACTAGTGGGTGAATCAGCTGAGGGATGTGGCCTTTCTAGAGGAGGCAAATATCTTTCTCTCAGTTCAGATTTTGTGAAGGTTAAAAATTCCTCTTAAAAAAAGTCTTTACAACAAAGAAACAGTTAAAGAGTTAAGAAAAAACCGTACAGATCAGGAGATAATATTTGCAAGCCATACATATCTTGGATTATACAAAATATGTTAACTCTATAGAGAAAACATAACCTATTTAAGAAATGAACAAAGGACTATATGTATAGACATTTCTCAAAAGAAGACCTATCAAATGCTAACAGAGGGCTGAGGATTTAGTGGCACCACGCCCACCTCGAAAGTGCAAGGTCCTAAATTCAGTCCCCAGTACCAAAAAAAATAAGCTAAGAGATACATGACAAAATGCTAAACATCACTAATAATTAGGGAGATGCAAATTAAAACCACATTGAAATATCTATCACTTGTTGGAATGGCTAATATAGAAAAAAGACCTTTTTTTTGGATTGCAAGGATGTGGAGGAAAAGAAATCTTATACACTGTTCAGTGTTGTCCTGATTCTTCAACCCTTTCCAACTCCCCCATTCAAGTCTCAGTCAAGGTCCTGCTTCTCCATGAAGCATCTCCGCTCCCACTGACTCTACCACTTTCTCTGCCTTCTCTGTCCTTGATCCTTTTGCAACAGTCAGAGCCTCCCCCAGAACTTCTGATGCGTGCTACACAATCTCATGTGCCCCTAACTTAAAAAATAAAAATGTGTGCTTGCTCAAGTCCTTGGTGACTCTTAGGATCATCTCTATATTCATTCAAAGAAATTGATACATTAAAAGCAGAAAGAACAGAAACCTTGTACACTGTTGGTAGGAATGTAAATTAGTGTAGCCATGATGGGAAACAGTACAGTGGTTCTTCAAAAAGCTAATTTTTTGTGGTTGCACATGCTTATAATTTCAGCACTGTAGGAGGCTGAGGCAGGAGAATTGCAAGTCCAAGCCCAGCCTGAGCAACTTAGTGATTTAGTGAGACGCTTTCTTAGTATAAAAATAAATAAGTATAGGGGCTGGGGATTTAGCTCAGTGGTTTTGGCGCCTGCCTTGCAAGCACAAGTTCCCAAGTTTGATCCCCGGTACCAAAAAAATAAAATAAATTTAAAAAAAGAGTATAAATGAGCTGGGGATGTAGCTCAGTGAGAAAGTCCTGGGTTCAAACACGGGAAGGAAAGACCAAAGAGAGGAAGGGAGGGAGGGAGGGAAAGCAAACAAGGAAACAAACTGCCATATGATCTAGCTGTCCTGCTTCTAAGTATTTACCTAAAAGATTTGAAATCAGTCTGTTGAAGAGATGTCTGTACTTCAGTATTCATTGTAGTATTCTTCACAGTAGCCCAGTTATCAACCTAAGTGTCTATCAGTACGTAATGGATAACAAAGTGAAAATCAGTCATTTTTTAAAAAAATTTTTGGACAGTCTGAGTATTGAACCCAGAGCCTTGCATATGCTAGGTAAGTGCTGTACTGCTGAGCTATATTCCTAGGTTACTATTCAGCTTTTTAAAAGGCAGAAATTCTGTCATTTTTGTCAGCATGGCTTGAATTAGAGAACATTTTCTAAGTGAAATAAAGCAAACAGATATGTATGGAATCTAAAACAGTTGAACTTATAGAAGCAGAGGATGGTAGGTTAGCAGATTTGGGGATAGGGGAATAGACAGTTGTTAGTCAAAAGAGTACAAAGCCTCAGTTAAATAGAAGGAATAAGTCTGATTTGTTTTTTGTTTAGATCGATTGCACAGAATGATGAATATAGTAATTGAGTATTGTTCATTTCAGTATCCCTAAGAAAGTAAATTTCACATGTAAAAATAAAAAGTTAATATTTAAAAGGTTAAATATTTAAGATTTATGTTAATTAGTTTTAATTATTTCACATTGTAAATCTTACCATAACATGATACCTCTGAAAATATGTATATGTTAATTAGCTTTAATTATTTCACATTATAAATCCTACCATGATACCTCTGAAAATATATACAACTATTATTGTCAATAATTCTTTAAAAATCTACAATGACAGAAGAAATTTCCCTAGCCATAAATGTTTTTAATCTTACCTCCCAGATGATTGCTAAAAATTCTAGTATGAATTTTGTAAGAATTGGGAGTGAAAGGAACAGAAAATTATGAGATGGGAAAAATTCAGTGAAATTTGCATCTATGCTATGGGTACTTGTTAATTTCTCAGAGTAGGTAACTCCCAGGCTTCTTCTGGTTTGGCCACTGGCCTGCCCACATTAACAAGATTGAGCTTTGGTTAACAAAAATGAAGAAATTTTTGCCCTCATGTAGAATTTTACTTAAATTAAGCCTGAGGGTTGATCACTCTTTTCCTAAAAAATCTCCAATAGAGGAAATTTTATTACCAGTTTCAATCTACTCTAAAGTCTTCCAGTTCAACAGTGGTCCTCTTAATGTCTGTTACACGTTATTCTTCCTTTGGTTACGTGCAGTTTCATTGCTTCTTCCCAGTAGGGACAGGCGTCAGCCCACACATAGAGAAATTCTGGTAGTCACAGAATATTTTTCTTCTTCTACCTTTAAAACTATTTTGAGATTCTTTTAACATCATAAATAAATTGCAGTTGCGGTTAACATTATGGTAGCAGAAGCCTGAGTCATAAAAATGGTCCTTAGAGATTGAGTGTTGAGCCAGCTGTTCCCACAACAGGATCTCAATTTTCTATGCTGTCTCTTGATGTCATCTTGAACTAAGATGACAAAGAAGCTCTTTTTACTGGAAATATTTGCTCTGTGTTTGTGTGTCCATGCATTTATTGTGTGTATTATCTTACTGGCTCAGATAGTATTCTAAGCCTTTTTTGTTTTGTTTTGTTTTTTTGGTACCAGGGATTGAATTTAGGACCTTGCGCCTGTGAGGCAGGGGCTGGAACCATTGAGTTAAATCCCTGGCCCAGTATTCTAAGTTTTGAAGCTTAGAAAGATGACATCAGGAGAGATTGAAATAGAACGTAATTTATCAAGCCATGTCCCTTCTTATTCACAAGAAAGAGTACATATCTAATGAAGAAAATCTGGTACTTATAATATGACCCATATCTTTATTCTTCTTTGTGTATAAGTCATCTCAATAGCAATCAGAACAAGTTTGAAACTGCATTTTGATCTCAGGCTCCCTGTGTGTTACTCAGTCTTTTGCTGGTGGTGAGACCCTTTATAGGGTCTCCAGATAGACATATCTAGGAATATTAAATTCTCTATACTGAGTGCTATCAGCAAGCTACAGAGTAAATGGGAGGACCTAGGCAATCCATGTGGAGATAAAATCTATTGGAGAGAGGCAGGAGGATTGGGGGATGGAACAAGGAAAGTAAAGGAAGAAGAGGAAAGGTTTTGCTTTGGGAGAGCAGCAAGTGTAGTGGTGAGGAGGTAGTGGTCTACAGCCAGATCACCTCATTTCAGTCTAGATTCCTCCTCGTTTATTAACTGTGCCACTTGTGTGAAGGAAGAATGATCTGCAACTTTCTCTTGCCTCAAATTTATTATTTGTAAAATGAGGACTACCACAGTGTCCACTAACTAGATTAATACATTTACTAGAACTGAATCTAGAATGAAATAAGGACTTTATCATCTTCAGTAATGCTTAGGTCTGCACTGTCCAGTGTGGTAGCCACTGGACACAGATGGCTTCTCAGCGCTTGAAATTTGCCTACATCTGAACTCAGGTGTGGCATTACTGTCATGTAAAGTCCACATGTAATTTCAAAGACAGTACTGAAATGTATAAAATGTTAACAAATATATTGTATACATGTTAAAATGACATAAATTTGGATATGTTGGGTTAAATAAAAACATAATTAAATTTATTTCACTATTCTACTTTTTTAATGTGGTTACAGGGATATTTTAACTGCCATATGTGACTTAAATGGATAGTTTTTATTTTATTTTATTTTTAGTACTGGGGCTCAAACTCGGGACCTTGCACTTGTGAGGCAGGCGGTAGGAACATTGAGCTAAATCCTTGGCCCCAAATGGATATGTTTTAATGAATCCTGTTAATATTTTATGAGCAACACAATTATGGTATTTATATAGTTGTTAAAAGCTCATTTTTTAAATGTAAACATACAACCCTTAGCTTTCCCAACTATTTTGTTATTTTTTTAATGTTGTGAACATCAAAATGTAAAACTGACCTGGGCCTTTTCTACCTCTGAGAGGTAGAAATCTAAACTTGATATATATAGTAAACAATTGAATTCTTGGTGTCTAACATGGTTTGGAAAATACATTCACTTTCAAAGTGACTTGAAAAAAAAATCACAAGGAGAAGGCCCTGTTTCTAAAAGGAAGAAAGCTCTTACAGCATAGAGTCCATCATTGCTAGGAGACAGTGGAGTGACCCTGTCACAGAGGCAAGGTGCTCCTGGGAACACCAGGAATGGGAGGGATGAGGAGAAACTTCAGTTGCTACAGAATGTGTTTGGGGAGATTTGGTTCTGGTTTGACTTAGCTTGATTTGGCTTTATGTTTCCCTTTCTTGCAGTGAAATATGAGGAGTTATACTGCTTTTCATTCAATCCAAAGCTGGATAAAGAAGAAAGAGAACAAGGTTGGATGCTGATCGATCTCAGTGACGAATACAAGCGAATGGGCCTCCCTAATAATTTTTGGCAGCTCAGCGATGTGAATAGAGACTACAGAGTGAGTGGAGGCATTTAGTGAAACCCAGATACTTAATCCACATGAAATCAAGATTTCAGATAACTTAGCATGACTTTTATCTACTGTAAATTTTGTCGATCTTTGTAGATGTAAGTGTGAGAGTTTTTAAGCCTCCCATAGTTATTGCTGGCTTTATTTTCTAGCTGTACCTACAATCAGAAAGTTTGAACAAGGGAACTTTGGAGGTCATCTTCACTATACTCCTCTGAAGTCGAGGAATTGGAGACTCGGGGATCCCAGTGGAGCCCTGATGGCCAGGCAGTTGATGGAAGAGCTGGCTGGGACCTCACTCTCCCATCACGTCTTTTTATAGCACAGAGAGCGGTTAGTGGGGAAGTCAGAGAGACTCTAATAGAAGTTTGGCGCCAACTCCTTGATTCCAGCTCACTGAACTCTTGATTGGTACACAGGGTCACCAAGAGGCTCCCAAGAGAGACTGGGAGAAATGTGTCTGCACTTGCAAGAAGGAATATAGAGAGGAGTGACCAATGAACCCTATGCTGTCCCCAGTGATGGCTTACACATCAGTGTTGGGTTCATCGTTCTTAAGATATTTAAATAATAAAAGTAATGTAAGAGCCTTCTGGAGAATTTGTAAAAGAGGGAGAGAGAAAAAATACCCACTATCCCATTGGCTTAACACTCTTCTGGGTTTTTAAAATTTATTTATTTATTTATGTATGTATGTATGTATGTATGTATGTATGTATTTATTTTTTGGTACCGGGGATCCAACCCAGTACCTTGCGGTTGCAAGGCAGATGCTGGAATCACTAAGCTAAATCCCCTGCCCTGGGTTTTATTTTTTTATGCAGTGCCAGGGATCGAACCCAGGCCCTTGTGTATATTGGCAGGTGCTCTGCCACTAACCTACATTTCTAGCTGACTCTTCTGTCTTAGAATTTTCCATCATGTTTCTCCATCTGCATACTTTTAATAGTTTTTCTTATCTAAGTAATGCTTGTGTGTATTGACCATTCACTTTGACTATTCTTTGACTTGCCTATTCACATGCTTGCTCTTTTTTTCTAAGATTGTTTGCCATTTTCTTATTGTAGAAGCTCTTAATATATTCTAGATAATTCTCTGTTATCATGTACATAACTGTTGTAAGGAATTGATATTCTGTACCTAAAGTGTCTTGATCCTCAGAAGTTTTGAGTCAGTTTTTTTTTTAAATCATGTTTTGTGTTTCAGCATATTGTTGAAGGAGAAAACTACTAATCTGTTTGCTAACATTTGTCTTATCTTTCTTTTTTCTTTCTTTCATATTGGGGATTGAACCCAGAGCGTTCTACAGTTGAGCTACATCTCCAGGTCTCTTTTAAAATTTGAAACAGGATCTTGTTAAGTTGATCAATGTGACCTTGAATTTGTGATCCTTCTGGCCTCAGCCTCCTGAGTACCTGGGACTATAGGCATATACCACCATACCTGACTTTTGTCCAAATTTGACACTGTCCCAGTTCCATAATTATGTTTTTACTAATTATGATTAGTGTAGCTTTAAAATAAATCTTAATATCTGACAAATGAAGTTCTTCTGCCTCATTCTTCCAAATATCTTAAATTTATAGATTTTTTTTTGGAGTAGAATAGAGTCTCATGCTACTGATTCTTTTTTGTAATTATACTTAAATTTAACAACCATCGCCTTATTGTAAAGTATCTGGCTAATATAATCATAATTGCTTGTTCTCATGCTAATACCAACCTTTAGACTGAATTTTTGGTCTTGAAAGGAAGAGAAATTCAAGTTTAGTAAAGCAAATTGAATGTTTTTTTAAAATGACATATCCTTGGGCAAAGATGAAAATGAAGCTGAGCCAGATTAGTGGAACAATATTTTCTTGGAAATACAGGTTCTTTTTATTTTTTATGAGATTTCCTTCTAGCATTAGTACCACAGTCATGACTCAGATATAGTCACTTAAGTCCTCATACAGATTGCAAAACATATGTTATGCAGCGTTTCTTTTCTGTAGTAACACATAGCAAAACAAAGCTAACCATTAACAGACTGTTGAGACATAAAACATAAAAACTAAGGGATTTTCTGATTTTGTAAGTATCGCTAAAATAAAGGATGATGTATTCTTATTTTTTAACCAATTTAGAAATAGAATAAAAATTGTGTTCTTGAAAAAAATTTCTGACTAGAGTCCATTGGTAAGGTTTCATCATAATCCAGTCTTTGTGATTTTAGTCTCATGGTTGAGAAAATGTGTACTTTGTCTTCCCTTCCGTTACAAGTTATTTAATAAGTCTCACAAATTGTTTGAAGTAATTGGGGCAAGTGGTGTCATGTGATGGAGAAGAAAACTATTGCCAGTGGTGCAAAATGACACTTGACACTGAATATAAAAACTTACATTCCAGAGTTATGCTATTTTTCTATTGTGTGGTCTTAGTCCACAAGAATATTATTAAATTTCTGTCATTATGACATTATTTATGGCACTTACCTATGTATTCTAACTTTCTAAACTAGGAATTCATTTTAAATCTGTTATGGTTTAGATCAAGAATGTCCACCAAAAGGCTCATGTGTTCAGAGGTGGGGCTTTCGGAAGGTGATTAGATCCTGGGGGCACTGTATTCATCAGTGTATTATCCTTTGATAGTTCCTGGCTTCGTGCTCTGTTAAGAGTTGGGGCCTGGTTGAAGGAGGCAGGCCACTGGGCATGTGACCTGGAAGGCTGTACTATTCTTGTCCCTGGCCCCTTTGTCACTCTCTGGTTCCTGCTTGTACTCTCTGCTTCCTGACTGCTAGGGGGTGAGCAGCTTTCCTCCAACATTCCCTTCTGCCAAGCCCTTTCTGCCCTGACCACAGATTGAAACCTCTGAAACCACGAGCCAAAATCAACTTCTTCTTTACATTTTGGGTGTCATTTTGCCCCAGCAACAAGAAACCAGACCAATACAATATCTAACCTTGAAATTATCTTTTATTTAAATAAAAGAATTGAAATTCATTACTAAGTTAAATTATTAATTAAACTCTCTTGAAATCAATTTAAAATTTAACCCAAACCAGTGATTTTTATTAAAACTTGTTTATTTTATTTTCCTATAGCTATATTCTATAAATTAATTTATTTATATATAAATTATTTATATACATATATTTGAGTAAATGTATTTCAGTTTCTAACAACAAACTTACTGCAGTGTGCTCAAATGAGTGATTGGTCTTCACTAAATACAGAAGTCTGACTAAGTCCTGGGAAGGCATCTTTGATGGATGGTGACCGGCCATAGTAAATGTGTTTACTGGAGGGTTATTACTAGGTTAACAAAGATCAGTCGTTCTGGGAATGTAAACTTTTAAAGCCAAAAATATGTGTTATTCATTTCTGCCCCAGTGCATACATAACAGTAATAATGCCTGAGATATAGTAAAGAGTCAGTAAAAGCTTATTAAATGAGTGAAAGAATTACCAAAAAGATTCCTTTGGGCAGGACTATACTGAAACATGCAGGCACTTCTAGCAGGCTGTTATTTAGTGAAGGACAAAGAAAATCAATTTCCGTATTCACAAAAGACTGAAAATCATTAACATACAAACCTATTTTCATTAACTAAATGCAGAGTCAGAAGAAACAGGAAAATTTGAAGAAAAGCACAAAATTTAGAAAGAAATAATTTTTTACTTTTGTAAACTTTTCCTATTCTCTGAATATTCTGTTTTGATTTTCAAAACCAGACAAAATCTTGGGAAGCATATTGAAGAGTTTTAACATTTAATGTTATAAATTGCATTGTTTGATGCATTATTCATTATCAGAATTTTAACTGCAGTTCTGTGAGCTTGTTGAAAAAACAACAGCAGTCTATGCTGATTGTTTTTATTGGGATAAAAGTACATAATTTGAAATTTTCCATCTTAACCATTTTTAAATGTATACTTTATTAATGTTCAGTATGTCCACATTGTTTTGCAACTGATCTCTAGAAGTCTCTTTATCTACAAATCCACAAATCCTCATCCTCCCTACCCCCAACCCCGGCAACCACCATTCTACTTCCTGTATCTATGAATTTAACTATTTTAGATACCTCATTTAAGTGGCATCACACAGTATTTTTTGTCGGTGTCAGGCTTATATCACTTAACATAATGTCCTCAAGGTTCCTCTGTGTTGTAGCATGTGACAGAATTCTCTTTCCTTTGAAGGATGAATAAAGTCCAATGTGTTAGTATGCCACATTTTGTTTATGCATTCCTTTATCAGGGAACATTTGTATTGCTTTCAGCTCTTGGCTATTATGAATAATACTGTTGTCAACATGGTTTTGCAAATATCTCTCTGAGACTGTGCTTTAAGTCTTTTGGTTATTTACCTAGAAATGAGGTTGATGGATTATATAGTAAATGTTTTAAAATTTTTAAGGAAACCTCATATTATTTTCCATAGTGGTTACATTATTTTACAGTACCACCAAGAGTGCAAAAGGGTTCCAGTTTCTCTGCAACCCAGCTGTTACTTATTATTTTGTGTTTAATTTAGTGGTGACTGGCTTATTAATTCAACAATACCTCATGATAGTTTGGGGTTTCATTTCCCTGATGACTAGTGATGTTGAACATGTTTTCTTGTGCGTGTTGATTATTTGGATATCTTCTTTGGAGAAATTTGTATTCAAGTCCTTTGCCCATTTTTAGTGAGGTCATTTAACTTTTTTTTGTTATTTCTGAGTTGTAGGCATTAGTCATATATTCTAGATAATAACTTCCATGGGAAATATCTTTACATTCTTTTGATTATGTCCTTCTATGCACAGAAGTTTTAAAGTTTTACATAACCTCATTTATCTTATTTTTTCTTTATTCCCTATGCTTTTGATCTCATATACATAGGAAATCAGTGCCAAGTCTGATGTCATAAAGCTTTGTCCCTTATAGGAGCTCTGTCATTTTGGGTCTTATATTTAAGTCTTTAATCCTCCATTTTGAGTTAATTTTGCATATTGTATAAGGGTTTACCTTTACTTTTTTGTACGTGGATATCCATTTTTCCTGGTACCATTTATTGAAGAGACTGTCCTTTTGCCAGAGTGGTCTTGGCAACCTTGGTGAGGATTGACAGTACAGTGTTTATTGCTGGATTCTCTACCTCATTATCTGTTTGTCTGTATGCCAGTTTCATACTGTTTGAATGCTGTAAAATATGTATGGCTTTGTAATATGCTTTGGAATTATGAAGAATGAGTCCTCTGACTGTTATTTTATTTTTTTTGGTACCAGGGATTGAACTTGGGTCCTTAGCTTGCCAGGCAGGCGGTGGAACCACTGAGCTAAATCCCGGGCCTCTGACTGTTCTTTTTAAAAAATTGTTTTGGCTATGTGGAGTCCCTTGATAATTCATATAAATTTTAGGATGGACTTTTCTATTTCTGCAAAAAGTCCCATTGGGATTTTCATAACATTGCCATGATCTGTAGGATCATACTATCTGGGAGGTAGTATGGATATCTTAACAATATTAAGTCTTCTAATTTATTAACATAGGTTATCTTTTTGTTTGTTTGTATCTTGTTTTTCTTATAGTTTTCAGTATAGGATTGTGATATATTAATGTCTACTTTAGAGTATTGTCTGCTTTATTGAAAGCAGGATGAATTTCATTTTTATAGCTCCGTAAAAGTTTTGAAACTAAGTTAATTGGCACTGTGGGTGAATTTTTTTTTGTTTGTTTGTACTGGGGATTGAACTCGGGACCTTGTGCTTTTGAGGCAGGCATCGGAACCAATGAGCTAAATCTCTGGCCCCACTGTGGGTGAAGTTTTACAAACGTGTTTTTGCTACTTAGTGTTCCCCATGTGTGCGCTCAAAACAGTCCCCTGACCCACGGAGTTTTTCCCTAAACCTGGGAATTCAGGAATCCTTGTAAATGGTGTTGTGTTCCTAGGGGGGAGACCATGACAACCAGTCCCAGTCTGACCACTGGTGATGACTTCAGTTTTGAGCTCTTGGCCTCGGCACATGTGCAGCCATGAAAGTCTACTTTTCTCCTACTCTGGAGGGTGAGAGCTCTGGCAGTTTCAGAGGGTAGAAGGCTGTGCTGTCTGCCAACATGTGAAGAAAGAGGGTTTTGGGAACACAAATAACAGCACATACCTGAGTCACGCTGAGGAGAAAATGGGCCCTGGATTTTTATCTTCTCCCTCTGTCCCATTCCAGCTACACTGCCCATAGTGCCATGACCTGAGCCAGGCCGGACATTTTCTGGCCATAGGAGACCATCAGAAGGTCTGGCAGGAATTCTAGAGTCTCTTATTCTCCTCTTCATATTCAGAAGCTGTGTGTAATAAGTTTGTTGTGAAATCTTGCCTATTACTCTTACTTCATTTAGTCATAAAACTTTGTAATTCTTCCTTACTCAAAATCTTATTTTCTTTTAAAAACTGCTATTTTGAGAAAATGTCTGTCTAGTGCCATGACTCCATGTCTCTGGAAGCCCAGACAAGCAGGTGTGGTCTGTGTGGAATGTTCCAGCTGGCTAATGGTAGGTGGAGTCAGACACCAGGTTGGTGTAGGGAATGTAGAGCAGTGTCTTGCAAAGTCATTCCTGCGCTCTGGGTCCCAGGGCGGGCCATCGGTTCTTGGGAAGGATTTTCCTCTAGAGTGTCAGTGCCAACTCCTGTAAGAAACTTGGTGGTAATATTCTTTCCAAACGTGTCTTTGATAAAATCTTGAAATTGTCCAGTACTTTGGGCCTGTGAACCCCTTCTGTAGTCCTTTTTCTTCTGCTCCATCTTGTTTGTTACCAGCCTGGTAACAAGGACAGGGGAGGCAGGCAAGGGAGGGTGTCATTGCTGAAAGCCTAGGGGACTGAGATCTCTCTTCTCGTGGGCTTTCATTCCTTTCACCCCCATCTTCCAGAGTGGTAAGGGTGGGAGGATATGGAAAGATGTGTACATCAAGTATTTCCCCCATTGCTACACTTACTTAAGGACTGTTTTGATGTTCCTAGGAAGATACCTGACGTCCAGGAAATAGTCACTTAAAACCCAGGAAACGGCCATCCTCACGTTGCACAAAGATTGATTGATGTGAAAGCAAAATAGCACAGCAGTATCAACTATAACTGTCGCTGCCACTGGCATTTCTTTTGGCTCTAATGAATGTACTTTGTCAGGAGTATTATCTGATTTGATCCTTCTGTCAACTTTTGAAATATTATTGCTCTAGTATTGGTTTTAGAGATTAGAAACATGCACTTGGAGGACCAGGGAGGAGGCTTCCTGAGGGAGGGAACTTGGGTTGGCTCTGGAAGAATGGATGAGATTTGAGAAGACAGAGGGCAGGGGGTGTCCAGGCAGGGAAGAGGAATGTCCACTGTGTGCCAGGAACACAGAGGTAACCTGACGACTTTACGGCTGTGCTTATATTTTACGAAAATCGTCCTCCATGTCAGACTATCTTTCAGTCAAATACCGGCAGCTAAAGTTTTCTCGGCAGCCAGGATGCAAAATTACAGTTTGTTTCTTTTTGATGAAATGAACACTCAATTGTTAATCGCCCTCAGAGAGGGGGACAGTGAACAACGACAGGACACTCAGGGGTGTTTTGCAGATAGGTAGAATCAACAACGCTTCATTTCCTGAAGTGGCTTCGGGTTTCCTTGAAATAGCCTCTTTTGTAACTTAGTTGAGAAAACTTAAATATACAACCTGTAAGTATGGTGAAATGGAATTTGGAAAACATTAGATTGCCTGAAAATCCCTTTGTATTTTCTGATGATAGGTTTGTGACTCTTACCCTACCGAACTGTATGTTCCCAAATCAGCTACAGCACACATCATAGTGGGAAGTTCCAAATTCCGGAGTAGACGGCGATTTCCTGCCCTTTCATACTACCATAAAGATAATCACGTAAGTCTCAAGGCATGCTTTTGTTTTACACTTTACTTTTCTGTTTTGTCACAAATAGACACTGTCTAGCTGCTTCTGCTCTGTGTATGTTTGTGGGTTTGAATTCTTAAAGGTATGTGGGTGTTCCTATGTAGGGTATGATACAGTCCAAATATGCTTAAATATTTCTGTCTTATAGAAACTGTCTTTCCATATTTATTTGGTAATAAAGTAAAGGGATAGATTCCAACAATACCTAAAGGTAATCATCCACATAAACACTGTTCTCTTCTAAGGGGCTCCTGGGGAGGCCCTCTGCCTGTTCCAACAGTGCTAGACATCCTTGTGCATGCTTATTTTAGAAAGCCTCTGAAGCCTGTGACATATTTCTTTTTCTTTTATTTCTTTTCTTAAATAATCATGTTGTTTTGGGTATCCTCCGTACAAGAAATTTTTGTGGAGTTTTATTTTTAAAAATTATTTGTAAAAATAATTTTTATTTCTAATAAATATTACAAATATCATTTATAAAAAGTAGAATTAGGCTTGTCTGTAACTAACAGAGACCCTAAATGATATCAGCTTTAATAAGCTAGAACTTAATTTTCTCTCACATAACACTGAAGGTGGGCAGTCCAGGCCTGGTATCCTGGCTGTATAACATCCAGCCTTCAGGGACCCATGCCACTCCAACGTTTTTGCCATCCCTAGGGCTTGGCCCATATCTGCAGTGGAGCAAGAGGTAGCTTGAGTACCGGCTGTCAGTCACCTCCATACTCCTCGTAGCAGGTGAAGAGGGGCTGAGGGTAGACTCCCAGCTTTTTGAAGAAGGCTCCAAGAGACTTTTGCTCACATCCTCTTCATCAGAAGTGCACAGGGCAGGTGAGAAAGTATAGTCTTACTGGGTAGCCATCTAAGCACTTAAAAGTTAGCATTTCTGTGGAGGACAAGAAAACAAATTTGGAGAAATAAGAATAGTCTTTGTCACCTAACCTCCAGCCAGATGAGAAAGTTAGGTTTCCATTATTTTAGATTTAAATCCAAGTGATGTAAACAGTTGAGAGGAGTGTGTGTGAGAGTGTGTGTGTGTGTGTGTGTGTGTGTGTGTGTGTAAAAGTATGACTGCAAATGCACTTATAGCCAGGGGTGGGGATGGGCAAGGAGTGGCTGTCAGATGCTAAGGGAGGCTTCCAAAAATTATTTGAGCAATGCCAACTTTACTGGAGTAAGCATAAGGAAAATACTCATTTACTGGTATGAGTCTGTTTTAGTTGCACTCACCACTCTTGGTCTTTTCTTTTGTTGTTGTTTCAGAGGTGGGATGAGCAGGATATTTAACCAATGGGAACAGTACATATCTTACTGCTTTTTAAAATTCTTAAGAAAAGGAAACCTATTTTGTTCAATGTATTGTAACAGGAAAAGGGTATAATACCCTAAAAATGGTCAGATTTTTAGCAGTTCTACCTCAGGGGCCAGCTTTTTCCCTGCTGACCTCAGACCTAATCACCCACTCCTGCCCTCAAGGGTTCTTCTTTCCTTGACCTTCAGGCCTGAAAATATAGTCACACAGCAACTAGTTACAGTTTAAAATAAGTGAGTGCCTATGTTGAAAGCTTTAGCTCTTTTTGGAAGGTACAAATGAGATGTGTCTGTCTCTAAGTATCACTGCATGGTATGGTTGCCCCAGGGAAATACTAATGTCATGCATAGGCCTCCTGCTTTCCCACCCCCACACACTAAAATCTGTATTTCCGGGAAAAATAATGACCAGATTTGTGTTTGTAACAGTGTTTTGGTTTTAATATTAAATTTGATTATATGAATGTTTCTGATTGGATGAGGGCTTTTCCTGAAGTTAGTATTATTCATGAAGGTAGATTTCTGTGATTTAATAGAAGACATAGGAAATGTCAAAATAGATTTACATGTGGTCATTTCTTATCAAAACCCATACATAGAACAGGCAGGCATGGCCATGGACAGAGGAGATCCACAGCAGTTTAGTAATCACATAGACTCACTCAGCAGGGAGGGAGGACACTACATACCATGAAAGGCCACATAGAAATTACCCTGGGGCACAGTGACAACTAGAGGCTGTCAGGGGCACAGGCCTTGTAGAATCAAGAGGATAAAGTCACTCCTGGTCTCTGGAGGGATGTGATAGGCTTGTTTGAATACCATCCTCAGCAGTGAACAGGAGCTGTACCTGGCCCACTGGATCAAGAGAATTGTTTAACAGTGAGCCTTGTCTGCAGAAGAAAGATAGAGAAGGGAACTTGTGATGAAGCCCTCTGAGTTTTGTTGCATGTGAAGGCAACCCAGAAGATTAATTTTGGGCCTTATACCATACATGGGTTGTATACAAACATTTTGTCTCCCTTTGGAATCAAACAGCTTTACAAATCACAAAGATAAATAAGATACTTTCATGACAAAGAACACCTTAGGAACTTCGTGAATAACAAACCAGCACTCCAAAGAATTTTACACAATAGCCTAGGAACAGACATTGAGGATCACAACCCCAGGAAGCAAAGCAGAATGAACCCATCTG